CTCTATTTGTAATACCTGTAGCTGGAAATGATCGAAAAGCTTGTCAACAGTATAACAGATGAATTGTGGGCCACACACAGTGGAGTGAAAAGGAAGGAATCATCTGCCCAGTACATGAGTCCATGCAGCATGATTCCACTTCTCTATAGTAAATAGGCAAAACTGTGCTGTTTGAAATCAGGATAGTGGTTATCTTTGGGGAGGCCATGTCTGGGTCCTGCTAGGGACTGATAGATAGTATTCTGTTTCTGACCTGAATACTAGCTACAAGTGCGTGTGGGCCATTTATGAAAATTCATTTCACCAAACACTTGAGTTGTGTACATTACGTATGTTATGCTCCCATAAAAACTTACTGAAATTCACAGCAATAACAAAGAGATGTGCTTGGCAATTTGGCAATGTCACCAAATTCATAAATTCCACTTCTAGGAATTTATCTGCAATTAAACTCACGGAAAATTACAGATATGCTAGAGCCTTCCCTGCAGCATCATTTAGAAAAGACTGGAAACAGCCTCAATGTTGGTCCGCGGAGAACTAGTTAAATCTTTATGGACTGAATTGAAATAGGTCTTCAAAATATATTCTTGGGGCCCCTGGCTGGCTCAGTCAGACAGCATGAGACTCTTGATCTCAGGGTCGTGAGTTTGAGTCCCACATTGGGTGTAGAAATTACTTAAATAAGTTTAAATATATATTCTTTATTATCTCAATAATAAAATAAATTATGAAAGTTAAAAATCAGAGCATTCTGATTCAAAAACTTATGTGAAACAAGAAAGATAAAAAAATATTGTTAGTCATCTGCTATCCTTTCTATTAAAAAGAAAAACAGTTTGTACATATTTGCCTAAATCTATTTAAATTTCTCCCTGGAAAGAAATACAGGCTGCCTGTGAGGAGGCGAACTTGGTGGAAGAAAGACTCATGTTTAGCATATAACATCTTGTACATTTAGAATTTTGTATTCTATGAGTATATTGCCAAAACTTAAAAATAAACAAAATGTGCAAAAGACCAAAAAAAAACCAAAAAACAAAAAACCCTGGGGAGAGGCACTAAGGGTGAAAAGGTGTTGGACAGCTTTCTGTCATAAGCTGTTCTGTACAAGTAATTTGTTGATTATTTCGAATTAAAAAACATTTTTAAAGATTTTATTTATTTATTTGACAGAGAGAGAACGCGCGAGCGAACGAGCAGAGGGAGGGGCAGAGGGAGAAGCGGACTCCCCGCTGAGCAGGGAGGCGGAGGCGGGGCTCGATCCCAGGACCCTGGGATCATGACCTGAGCCGAAGGCAGACGCTTGACGACTGAGTCACCCAGGAGCCCCTAAAAAATGCTTTTAAGTAGAATTTAATGAAAATGTGAAGAGAAAAAAAGTGAAAATCGAAATGTTTTCAAACATGCACCCCCCCAGAGATCTACAAATTTATCCTAGCTTTCATAAACCAGGTCTCCACCTCTAGCCACTAGGGGGCAGTATATTACCATAATTATAAGCTTGGATTCAGACATCCATGGATGCAAATTCCAACCCTATCGCAGATAACAATTATAAACTCTGCACAAAACAGAAAACAATTACATAAAGGCACTGCAAAGTGAAAAAAGCAGCAACTGGAGGGAAATTGACACTTGATAAAAAAGAAAGGGGTCGCTTGGGTGGTTCAGTGGTTGAGCGTCAGGCTCTTGATTCAGCTCAGGCCGTGATCTCAGGGTCTTGAGATCTAGCGGGGCCATCAGGTTCCCCGCTGGGCGTGGAGCCTGTTTAAAAAAAAGGGCGAACGGGGACAGGTTCTAGTCCGTGCTGGGAGGGGCAGTTAAAACTAAAACACCAGGGAAAAATCCAGTCTTCCTGGCTTGAAGCACCAGAGCAACAGGAAATCAAGGTATAAATCTGGAAAAGAGATCCAGGGTGGGGGCATTCCACATATTTTTATATAAACTCTGCTCAAATATCTAGCTGACCCCTGAACCACACCTTCATGGGGTACACTCCAAAAAGCCCAGCTAAGCCTAAAAAAATGTAAACTGAAATTTGAGATACAAATTTTATAGAGTTTTACAGAGATTACAGTTGGAGTTTACCAAGTTAAAGGGCTGCTCAGGAAAAAAGTAATTGATGCTCTTCAGAGGAACATAACAGACTCCAGAGTTTTTACAGTATATCCAGGATACACTCTAACATTACTCAAAATTAAAAAAAAAAATAGGAAAATATGACCCATTCTCAAGAGCAAAGGCCGTTAACTGAGACCAGCAGTTACCTGAGACCAACACCAAAATGACCCATATATTGGAATAAGACCAAAAAAAAAAGTAAAAAATAGCTGTTAAAACTATGCTCAAGAACCTAAAAGAAAATGTTTCTACTGAATAAGAATCTTGGTATAGAGATAAAATAAAAAAGAATAGAATAGGGGCACCTGGGTGGCTTAGTTGGTTAAGCATTTGCCTTCAACTCAGGTCATGATCCCAGGGTCCTGGGATCGAGCCCTGCATCGGGCTCTCTGCTCAGCAGGGAGTCTGCTTCTCCCTCTCCCTCTGCCGTTCCCCCTGCTTGTGCGTGAGTGTACTCTCTCTCTCTGTCAAATAAATAAAATCTTTTTAAAAAATAGAAATTCTAGAATGAATAAATGAATTTAGCAAGTTCCCAGGATACAAGGTTAATACACAAAAATAATGGTCTTTTATAGTATAGAGGCAAGAAATTGGAACATGAAATTTAAAAATAACTTCATTTACCATACCACAAAAACCAGAAAATACTTAGGGATAAGTTTGATAAAAGATTTAACACCTTTACTCTGACAACTACAAAACACTGCTGAGAGACTGCCAACATTTGTATCTCCAGAGAAATACACTATGTTCATAGATTGGAAGATATAATATTGTTAAGATGCCAGTTCTCCCCACTTTGGTCTATAGGTTTGCAGTCTCACCCTGGGTTGTTTCCATCTCTTTTCCCAAGAAGGAAAACAAAAATAATCAAATATGGGGGATTTATTACTTGACTTATATTTTCTTTTCTATTTTAGTTGCTTATGATTTTTATTAACTAATAGGCTTTTTTTTTAATTTTTAATTTATTTGTCAGAGAGAAAGAGAACACAAGCAGGGGGAAGCAGGCAGAGGGAGCAGAGGGAGCAGGCTCCCCACTGAGCAAAGAGCCCGATGTAGGGCTCCATCTCAGGACCCTGAGATCATGACCTGAGCCGAAGGCAGACACTTAACTGACTGAGCCACCCAGGCATCCCAAAAAGATTTTAAAGAGCAGTTTTGGGTCTACAGAAAATGAGAGAAAAGTACAGAGAGTTCCCATGCATACCCCCTCTACCCCACCTCCAGTTTCCCCTCTTATTAACATCTTGCTTTAGTGGGGTACTTTGTTATAATTGGTAAGCCAAGACTGATACTTTTTTTTTTTCTTCAGAGAGAGAGAGGGAGAGGTGGGGCAGGGAAAAGGGAGAGGGAGAGAATTTCAAGCAGGCTCCATGCCCAGCACAGAGCCCGACCTAGAGTTTGATCTCACAACCCTGAAATCATGACCTGAGCCAAAATCAAGAGTCACACACTTAACCCTGAGCCATCCAGGTGCCCCTTATTTATCTGAGAGAGAGAGAGAGAGAGAGAGAACGTGTGCATACATGCACATGCAAATAGGAAAGGGGCAGAGGGAGAGTGAGAGAATCTCAAGCCAACTCCCCACCGAGCGTGGAGCCCGATGGAGGGCTCCATCTCACGACCCTGAGATCATGACCTGGGCAAAATCAAGAGTCGGATGAGTAACCAACTGAGCCATCCAGGTGCCCCTCTAGAGAAGATTTTAATAAGTACTTTAATACGTTAAACCTACTTTAATAAGTAGGTTTCATGGGGCTGCCTATAATATCCTGTCCTTCTGCCCCTGCCCCAACTCAGCTGCAGAGAGACTCTGTTATAACCCAAGATGGCGCACATCTACTCCTCTCCTCAGGACCCTCCAAGAACTCCCGGCTCACTGAGAGTAAATTTTGTCCCCGTCTCTCTGGGTCTCTGCCTCTAGTGACCTTGTCCTACCACAGAGACCTGAGGACCTGTCCACAGACCCTGTATGACACGATCCCATTCACCTCCCTTCCCCCCCTTCCCCCCGCCCTGCCACTTGCTGACTCCATTCCAGCCCCATTGGCTGGTCTTCACACACACACACACACACGGGACACACTCTGGGTTCAGGGCCCCTTCTCTTTCTGCCGCCCTGCTGGCTCTCCCACCAGGGCTCCCCAGGGCTGACTTCCTCCTCTGTTCACCAGTGCGGCCCCTCCCGGCCGCTCAGCAGAGCATTGCCATCCTTTGCTATCCAGAGGGCAGACAGAGCCTTCTCTCTGGCTTGTTCACGGCTGGGTCCAGGCTGGTAGTTTTATTTTCTGCCTCCAGGAATGCCCTCAAAGCCTGCCAACACCCAGAGCCCCTTCTCCAAATGCCCGATCCAAGCCCAGCCACAGCCCCCAATTCCTCCCCCAGGCCCCTGTCACCCCCTAAGAGACACACAGGCAAGGCCCCAGCACTGAAATTTACTGCCACCCTGGCAGAGATGAGGCATTCTGGGGGCAGTGCCCGCGGGCGGGCGAGTCAGGGGCTGGTGGTGGGGTATTTCTCTGCTGCGTGGTGTGCGGCTCAAGTTGGGCACTGGGGTGGTCAGTGGAGGCTCGTGGAGGCGAGCTTGGTATGGGGGGCCCTGGTCTGGGCTGGGCGATTCTGCCATTGAGGAATGGATTGTTCACATACCCTTTGGGTCTGTGAGACCCCCGGGGCCAGGGTGGGAAGGGCTGGAAGGGACTGCAGTGTCTTGGGGAAGTTGACCTGGTGGGTCCCTGAGAGCTCAGGGTCAGAGAGACACGGGGTGCGGGCGTCCACGCCCTGCAGGTCCACATGGGGAGAGGGGCCTGACCATGGGGGGCCCCTCCTCGGGTCATCCCCTGGGGCGACAAGGTAGTGGGCACACGGGGGGCTCAGAGTTCGTCGTGGTGACGGGTCAGGTCCTCGCCGTAGTTGGTGGCCTGGCTACCCACGAACATGTTCCAGTTACTCAGGATCTCGGCCTTGCTCAAACGCCCATCCTGGAGGGAGGGTCAGAGGGCAGCAGGGGTGACAAGGGGCCCTGCCGGGGAGACTGCTCTCTGAACCTTAGTATGCCCCCCCCCACCCCGGGGGTCTCTGTCCCTCCCTTTCCCCCACCCCCACCCTCCATCTCTGTGTCCCTGGCCCAACAAGGCCCCAGGGCAGCTCCAGGCCCTGTCCCGTCCCGTCTGCACAGCGGGCCTCCGGCACGCACCTTGTCCGTGTCGCTCTCGCGGAGCAGGTGGTTGGCTTCCACCAGCGGCTGGTCCTGGGCGGGGGGCAGCACCCAGCGGCCCACCTCACTGCGGTCCAGCCGCCCGTCCTTGTCCAGATCGCGGAAGTCCCGGAACTGCTCCCTCTCCGTCTGCACCCAGGCCGGCTCCTCCTCCCCGGGCTCGGCTGAGTACAGATCCGCTGCGCCGGGCGACAGGGCAACGTCAGACGGTTCCGAGCCGGCGTTCCGAGCCGGCGGGCACGCCGGGGCTCCGTTCCGGCCCTGACGCCGCCCCCCCAGGCCACTGCACCTGCTCCCCCACCTCGGTCTCCTTTTCTGTTGGAACGGGACTAAGAGCGACACCGGACTAACAGGTGATCACCCTGCTACAGAGAAAGGGACTTGATGGATTGATCATTTCCTCGATGGGCTGTCAACTCGTTTGCCCGAGACTCACGGGAAATGCTGTGTGCCCCACGGGCGCAGGCCATGTGAGCAGATACTAAAAAGCCACGCTTAGGACAGCTCACTCCACTTTAAGAAGCTCCCTCGGGGCGCCTGGGCGGCTCAATCCGTTAAGCATCTGCCTTCGGCTCAGGTCATGATCCCAGGATCTTGGGATCGATCCCCTGCTCAGCGGGAAGCCTGCTCCTCCCTCTCCCTCTGCCCCTCCCCCTGCTTGTGCTCTTTCTCTCTCTCTCTCTCAAATAAATAAAATCTTTAAAAGAAAAAAGTGTAAAAGTCTTTTTATACCAGATGCAAAACCACGATAAATAGTACGGAATGCCTTCCTCCCCTCACCCACCAGGCCAGGGAGCTGTTACAAGGAAGTCACCAAAGATGGAGTAGGCACTGGACACTCAGTCAGCCTTCTAGAACAGTGAGTGCAGAGCCTCTTTTTTTTTTTCCCTAATGGTCCTAAGTCATCATTTCTTACAGGAAACGATGGCAACAGTAGATGGGAGTTGTGTAGGTCTTTTTAAATTGTGGAGAAAAAATTAAAGATTAAATACGTAGGTTTAAACATAAAAAAAATACGGGGCACCTGGCTGGCTCAAGTCGTTAAGCGTCTGCCTTCAGCTCGGGTCATGATCCTGGGGTCCTGGGATCGAGCCCCAAATCAGGCTCCTTGCTCAGCAGGGAGCCTGCTTCTCCCTCCACCTGCCGCTCCCCCTGCTTGTGCTCTCTCTCAAATAAATAAATAAAATCTTTTTTAAAAAACATTAAAGAAAGATTTAAATAAATAAGCTTTAAAATTTTTTTTAAATTGTGGTAAAAAGCACATAACATAAAGTCCACCATTAGTGGCATTTAATACATTCACAATGTTGTACGACAACCACATCAATCCAGAACATTTTCATCCTCCCAAAAGGAGACTCCTTTCCCATTAAGAAGCAACCTCCTATGCCCCCACCCCCCCTCCAGCCCCAGGCAACCAGTAATCTAATTCCTGTCTCTGTGAATTTTCCTATCCTGAACATTTCCTGTAAACGGAGTCATACAATACTATGGTCCTTTGTGTCTGGCTTCTTTCACTTGGCATAGTGTTTATTTTTGTATTAAAGTGTAGCTGACACACAATGTTACATTAGTTTGGGGTGTCAGACATAGTGACTTCGCATAAGGTTTTGAAGATCTACCCACACTGTAGCATGTATGAGTGCTTCCTCCCTTTTTATGGCTGAATAATATGGATCTGCCACCTTCTGTTTAGCAGTCATCTGCGGGGCATCTGTATTGACTAGATGTCATTGTATGAGCTGGATGCTCTATTACGGCCCCCCCTTTTTTTAAATTTTATTTATTTATTTGTCAGAGAGAGAGAGAGAGCACAAGCAGGGGGAGCAGCAGAGGGAGAGAAGCAGGCTCTTCGCGGAGCAGGGAGCCCGATGCGGGGCCCGATCCCAGGACCTCGGGATCATGACCTGAGCCGAAGGCAGACGCTTCACCAAGTGAGCCACCCAGGCGCCCCTCTACTACCACCTTTACAGGTAGTACAGGTAAGGAGGCCGAGAGAGATTGAGGAACTCATTTCCCATCCCATGGCTGGGAGGTGGTAGGTGGGAAGCATGCACGCTCGCTCTGGAGCCTACACCCTTGAGCTCGGTGCACCCCCACCTCTCCCACCTTCCCTGACACGCCACCCGCCCTCCCAGCCGGGATCAGGGCCCGTGACACCCCCTCCATCCTCCTGGTTCATATTCTTCCCTATATCATTCAACAGTTGTGAAATTACATTGCTCTGGGGAGTCCTGGGGTCCTGCCCACATCTGTCTCCCCAGAACCCCACAGGGAAAGGAAGCAGCCTAGGGGGCAGGGTGGGACCCTAGGCTCAGCATGGACTGCCATCCTGCTCCACCTCAGCCAACTATCTACCCCTCAGGCCTCAGCTTCCTCATCTGTGAAATGGGGCAATAATACCCATCTTGTCAGTTGATATGTGGATTAAGCGAATTTATAAGTTGTTAACCACTTAGAACAGAGTCTAGTGTGTGGTAACAATGTGTCAGCTGCTGCAACTACTCAGTGGTGATGCTTGAATTCTGACCAAAAAAAAAAAAAGACTTCTATCTTCCTCACAGATATAAGAAAGATAAATTATGCTTAAATAAAAATGTCTTGCCTGAGCATTTGTTCCATAAAAACATGCTATAGAAAAATGTTTTCAAACTCATAAAAATATCCATGTTTAACAGCTTTCCCCTCAACCAAATTCTTTGCCCCCTGAGGACAGGGGTAGAGGCAGGGCCAAGGGGAAATGTGGGGGTGTCACGAGGGCCCCCCAAATTCTGAGTAACAGGAGACACAGCCTTTACCGTGCAAATGCAGGATCAAGACAAGCTCCCTGACTTCCCACACGCAACCACTGCAGCCCCTGAGGCCTGATTTTGTAGATACTCCAGACTCCCCCAGGTAGGAACCTAGTCTGTGACATTCCCTGCTCTATCCTCAACCACAAACATGCAGTAGGGGCTCGGTACGTGTTTCCTGGTCCTGGCACACAGAGGGCACTTAATAAATGCTTTTTTGGTCTGGCACACAGAAGGTACTGGATAAATGTTTCCTGGGCCTGGCACATAGTAGGTGCTTGATAAAGATTTGCTATGCCCAACAAATACACATACTCAATAAATGTTTACTGCCCTATGACCCTCCCCCCTCTCATGCTCTCTATCTCTCATTCTCTCTCTCTCAAATAAATAAATAAAATATTTTTAAAAAAATAAATAAATAAATGTTTGCTGGGCCCAACACACAGTGGGTGATCGATAAATACATTTAGGGCCCAGCACACAGTAGGTGCTCAATTAATGTTTGGTGGCTACATGAACGCAATCAGGTGCCCCTGCCCCCACTTCAGAGGGCCGTTGCTCTCCTATGAGTGATATGCATTGGGCCGCTTGGGGGAGGACAGGCGTCCTCAGGAAGGGGATCAGGTCCCACTCACCGATGTACTCATCCACTTGGACATAGCCATCTTTGTTCTTGTCCAGATCCTCCAGGGTTTCCTGGGGGAAAGAGAGGCATTGGGGCTGGCTCCCGAGGAGGGCTGGCCCCCTGGGGTTGGGACGTGAGGTTCTCTTAGGGAATTGGGCTTGGGCTTGGCTGTATGGCCAGGCATCAGAGCAGTCTCAATGGGGTCTACAACAGGTAGGGGTGGGGGGTTGGGGTTGGGTGGCTTTCTGGAGCACATAATGATGCAGGCCCTACCTGCCCTTGGTGCGTGGGGGCCAGGGAACCCAGATATCCTGTGGTGCACAGGTTGCTTCCACCCAAGGAGACCTGTCCTGCATCCCTCACACTTTCCTCACACCCAATAGCACACACTCTCCAAGGGCTGAAGTGTCTTCCCACGTAGCAGAGCCTAGATCCTAGCTCCATTTTAAGTATGAGCATGACATACTTGGTGGACCATTGTGACACACGCTCAGTACCTCTGCTCTTGGTTTTCTCCCCACTTCTTGAGCAAACAGCTTCTGTTCCCCACTTTTTTAAAGATTTATTTATAGGGGCGCCTGGGTGGCTCAGTTGGCTAAGTGGCTGCCTTCGGCTCAGGTCATGATCTTGGGGTCCTGGGATCGAACCCCGCGTCGGGCTCCCTGCTCCGCGGGAGGCCTGCTTCTCCCTCTGCCACTCCCCCTGCTTATGTTCCCTCTCTCGCTGTCTCTCTCTCCGTCAAATAAATAAAATCTTTAAAAAAAAAAGATTTATTTATATATTATTGGGGGGGAGTGAGGACAGAGGGAGAGGGGAAGCAAACTCCCCACTGAGTGTGGAGCCCAAGGTGGGGCTCAATCTCATGACCCTGAGATCTTGAGCTGAGCCAAAATCAAGAGTCAGATGCTTAACCAACTGGCTTAATCACCCAGGCGTCCCCATTCCCCACTTTTATATTCAAATTCACTCACTGTAGTATGGTGTAGGGTCTGAGAGTGCACTATGCCTTCTTCACAAAGAAAGCTCCAACATTTAAGGGTTGCCAGAAAAAATACAGGATGCTCACTTACATTCAACTTTCAGATGAACAACTAATAATTCTTTAGTATAAGGATGCCCCACACAATATTTGGAACATACTTATACTACAGGACACAGTTACATTTGAATTTCAGATAATTTTTTAAGCATAAGTATGTCCCAAATATTGTGTGGGACATACTTATGCTAAAAACTTTTATTTGTCTATATTATTTGTTATACATTCAAGTATAATTGAATGCCCTTTGTTATTTGCTAAACCTGGTAACTCTACAGCACTTATATTAAAATTCTTGTTATTTCTTATAAGTGACTTTCCATTATTTTTTTTTATTAGGCTCCATGCCCAATGTGCGGCTTGAACTTACAACTCTGAGACGAGGAGTCACATGCTCTACTGATTGAGCCAGCCAGATGCCCCCTATAAGTGAATTTCCTTTAGTTTCCCCCTTTTTTTTTCTAAGATTTTATTTATTTATTTGACAGAGAGAGACACAGCAAGAGAGGGAACACAAGCAGGGGGAGTGGGAGAGGGAGAAGCTGGCTTCCCGCGGAGCAGGGAGCCCGATGCGGGGCTCGATCCCAGGACCCTGAGATCATGACCTGAGCTGAAGGCAGATGCTTAACTGACTGAGCCACCCAGGCGCCCCATAGTTTCCCCTTTCTATAGTATAGTTGGGGCTAACAGTAATGGTTTGAAATCCTGTGTCAGGGGAGTTACACTCGATATCCATGAATGTGAAAGATGACAGGAAAGTTTATTTATTTTTTTAAAACATTTTATTTATTTGACAGAGAGAGAGACAGCGAGAGAGGGAACACAAGCAGGGGGAGTGGGAGAGGGAGAAGCAGGCTTCCCGCGGAGCAGGGAGCCCGATGCGGGGCTCGATCCCAGGACCCCGGGATCATGACCTGAGCCGAAGGCAGTCGCTCAACCAACTGAGCCACCCAGGTGCCCCGACAGGAGAGTTTAGACAAGGGCTCTGCAAACTCTTTCCATAAAGGGCCAGAGAGGAAATAGTTCTGGCTTTGAGTGCCATATAGTTTCTGTTGAACTGATAGAACTCTCTCTGGTTGTGGCACATGGAAGCCTAGGGGTGTGGCTGTGTTGCAATAAAACTTTATTTGCAAAAACAAGCTGTGGGCTGGATTTGGCTGCAGGTTAGACAGTTTGCTGACCCCTGGTGTGGACCATGGATTCAACTGCCAGGGTTCAAATCCCGGGCTGGGCCACTTCTGGTCTGGGTGATCTCAGGCAAGTCCCCTCACCTCTCTGTGCCTGGGTGTCCTCATCTATAAAATGAAGATGATAGGGCCCCTGGGTGGCTCAGCATGTTAAGCATCTGCCTTCGGCTCAAGTAATGATCCCAGGGTCCTGGGATTGAGCCCCACATTGGGTTCCCTGTTCAGCAGGGAGTCAGCTTCTCCCTCTGCCCCTCCCCCTGCTCATGCGCTCTCTCTCAAATAAATAAAAATCTTTTTTTAAAAAAGATTTTTATTTATTTATTGGTCAGAGAGAGAGAGCGCCCAAGCAGGGGAAGCAGCACAGGGAGAAGGAGAAGCAGACTCCCCACTGAGCAAGGAACCCAACGTGTGACTCGGTCCCAGGATCCCGGAATCATGACCTGAGCCGAAAGCAGACGCCCAACCAACTGAGCCACCCACGTGCCCCTCAAATAAATAAAATCTTTAAAAAATAATAATAAAATAAAATAAAATGAAGATGATAGCCCACCCCCATAGGGTCACCATGATGATCCAATCAAGCTAATACTTAGGTAAAGGTGTTACCACGGTGCCCCTGGTACACAGGACACACTCAGTCAGGGTTTGTTAAATAATCTCAACTCAGGGGGCCCCTGGCTGGCTCAGTCAGTAGAGCCTGCGACTCTTGATCTCAGGGTTGCAAGTTCGAGCCCCACGCTGGATGTAGAGATTACTTAAAAAATAAAATCTTAAAAAAAAAAAAAACTCAGCTCAGGAGAGTAAAAGGTATAACGACATTATTTGCTATAAAAGAGGGACGTTGGGCCTTGGAGGATGGGGAGTCTAGTGGGTTCGAGAAGGTTGGCTTAATGACATCTCTCCTCTCCAGATCATAGTCATCTCTAGAATGGGCTGGATGCCCCACCTCAACGGTGCACATATCAAGTCAGTAAAATGCCTGAGAAATATCTAAAACAACTGCAAATGCATATCCTAGTGGGACCAGGGATCCCGCCACTAGAAGTGGTGTAGCTATATTGACGCGTGCATGTAATGTGACATCATGAGCATTTATCACCAGTCAGTTCTGCAGTTTTACATGTATTAACTCATCTAGTCCCTATAACCAGCCTTGATGTAGGAACAGCTATCAGTACGACCATTTTATAGACGAGGAACAGGTCCAGAGAGGTTAAGTAATTTGCCCAAGCTCACACAGCCAGGAAGCTGCCAGGCTGGGGATTTGAACCCAGGCCTTCTGGCCTCAGAGCCCTTGATCCTAACAGGCTTGCCATAGACCCTCAAACCAGCTCTGGAAATGGAGCTACACGAGAGGGGTTGGGGAATAAGGTCGAGGAGATGAGGAAGGCAGAGGATTATCCACTGTTTTTGCATCCTTTGGGCATTTAAACACATCAGTATGTTAGCTATTTTATTGTATTTTTTATTTTTTTTTTATTTTTTTTTTTTAAGATTTTCAACAATAATTACAGAGAGAGACACAGCGAGAGAGGGAACACAAGCAGGGGGAGTGGGAGAGGGAGAAGCAGGCTTCCCGCGGAGCAGGGAGCCCGATGCGGGGCTCGATCCCAGGACCCCGGGATCATGACATGAGCCGAAGGCAGACGCTTAACGACTGAGCCACCCAGGCGCCCAGTATGTTAGCTATTTTAGACACACAACTACATTTTTAAAAATAATTTGTGGGGATGCCTGGGTGGCTCAGTTGGGTAAGTGTGTGTTTTCAGCTCAGGTCATGGATCGAGCGCCACATCGGGCTTCCCGTTCAGTGGGAAGCTTGCTTCTCCCTCTCTCTCTGCCTGCCGCTCCCTCTGCTTGTGAGCTCTCCGACAAATAGATAAATGAAATTTAAAACAACAATAATTAGTGAAAAGTTAGGCATGGTAGAAATGGGTATAAATCCTTCCATGAAGAGTGAACCCTCATGTGAACTGTGGACTTTGGATGGTGATGTGTCAGTCTAGGTCTATCCACTGTAACAAGTGTCCCACTCTGGGGCAGGATGTTGATGTGAGGGAGGCTGTGTGAGTGTGGGGGCAAGGGGGATGTGGGAAATCTGTGGACCTTTTGCTCAATATGGCTGTGAACCTAAACCTGCTCTAAAAATTAAGGTCTGGGGCATCTGGCTGGTTCAGTTGGTGGAGCATGTGACTCTTGATCTTGGGGTTGTGGGTTTGAGCCCCACATTGGGTCTGGAGATCACTTAAAAATAAAATCGTGGGCACCTGGGTGGTTCAGTCAGTTAAGCATCTGCCTTCAGCTTGGGACATGATCCCAGGGTCCTGGGGTCAAGCCCCCGAGCCCCACATCGGGCTCCCTGCTCAGTGGGGAGTCTGCTTCTCCCTCTCCCTCTGTGTGTGCTCTTTATCTCTCTCTCTCAAATAAATAAATAAAATATTTAAATAAATAAATAAATAAATAAATAAAAATGCCTGGGTGGCTAAGTTGGTTGGGCATCCGGCTCTTGGTTTCCACTTGGGTCGTGGTCTCAGGGTTGTGGGATCAAGCCCCGCAGGGGGCTCCACGCTTAGTGCGGATCTGCTTGAGGTTCTCTCTCTCCCTCTGTCCCTCCTCTTGCTCGCACTCTCTCTCTAAATAAATGAAATCTTTAAAAAATAAAATAAAAATAAAAATTAAGGTCTGTTGGGGAAAAAAAGAAGGGGAAAAAGCCCTTCCACTACTGGGGCACCTGGGCGGTTCAGTCGGTTAAGTGTCCACGTCCTTATTTTGGCTCAGGTCACGATCTCAGGGTCATGAGATTGAGCCCCGAGTCAGGCTCCACACTCAGCATGGAGCCTGCTTAAGATTCTCTCTCCCTGGAGCGCCTGGGTGGCTCAGTCGTTAAGGGTCTGCCTTCGGCTCAGGTCATGATCCCAGGGTCCTGGGATCGAGACTCGCATCGGGCTCCCTGCTCCGTGGGAAGCCTGTTTCTCTCTTTCCTCCTCCCCCTGCTTGTGTTCCCTCTGTCGCTGTGTCTCTGTCAAATAAATAAATAAAATCTTAAAAAAAAAAAAAGATTCTCTCTCCCTCTCCCTCTGCCCCTCCCCCCCACGATCTCTCTCTCTCTCTCTCTCTCTCTCTCTCAAAACAAAAAAAATCCTTCCACTATAAAATGGAGAAGGAATTGGAACTGGCACAAAAATTATAAAGGAACAGGAAGAAGATGGGCCAGCGGAAGTAGCCTCAGGGTAGATACTCCACGTATGGGGTTGGGGTTTTCCTGGGGTTCGGCCAGGATTGGGGCTCCCCGAGGCACTTCTGGGGAATGTGTGAGTTTCAGGCTGAGGGCCCGGACTCCAAATGTGAGCACATGAAGGGGAAGGCAGGACCAGGAGAGATCAGACACTGGGAGGTCTCGTGTCGGGCAGCAGAGAGGTTGCCCTCCACTGATCTGTTTGCGGGCTGGGTTCCCTGGGGAAGGTGCTAGAAGACCAGGTGACTGGATCCCCCAAGGTAAGCACTGGAAGGCTGGCCCTGACATCAGAACCCTGGGTCCCAGGAGGGGGGATGGGAAGTGGAGAAGGCTCCTCGGGCCTGAACTCACGGCAATCACGATGTCCCGCATGTGAGGGAACTCTTCGGGGTGCAAGAAGGCTGTCAGCTCCTCCCGAGTGGCCATCGAGTCCCCGTCCTGGTCCGCCACCCGGAAACGCCGCTCATCCCGAGCCAGCATCTTCTTGTAGGTCTCGGCGTCCTCCACATCGTGAAATTCTTCACCTGGGGAAGGGGAGGAATCTCGTTCAGCTGTGCTTTAATGGAAGGAACGCAGGGCAGGTCGAGGGAAAAGACAAAGGATCCAGCTCAGTGGAGTCAGGGCAAGAAGGCCTCCACAGAACTGGTAATAATTAGTATATATTCATTGTTTGTATATATTAGCAACCTTGTCGGGGGAGCTTATTATATGCGAAGCTCTTTACTTACAAAATTGCATTTAATTCTCACAAAAAAGCAAGTCAAGAGAGTTTTTTCATTTCTTCTCATTTTGTGAAGGAGAAAACAGATTCCCACAGAGAGGAAATAACCAGCCCAAAGTCACGTAGCCAGGAATGATGAACTTTGAGTGGACACTGGCCCTTTGGGCCCCAAGGCCACCCTCTGGTGCAGTAAGTTCTACTGACTCAGGTTATAGGACAGAGAAGAGAAGGGCGTTTTCAACAAAGGAAAGGGTATGAGCGGAATGTGGAGGTTTGAAGAGCTCCTGAGTTCAGGGAAACTACAGAAGATCCATGTGACTGGTCAGAAAATGCAGAAAAACAAAGCCAGAGGGGTGGGCCAGGCTGGGCTGAGGAGCTGGGAGTCTCCTCTGGAGACCCTGGGGAGCCATGAAGGGCTGTGAGCAGGGGAGGATCAGGGTCAACTCTGGGTGTGGAAAGACCCCTCTGGGGATATATGAGGGACAGGCTGGAGGAGGAGTGTGGAGGAAGGGTCCAGGAGGGAGAGAGCAAGAGCTGTGGAGATCGAAGGCCTGGAGCATGGGGACAGGCAGGAGGGAAAGCAGTCAGGGCATGGGGTAAATAGATTTGAGGTTCTTTTTTTTTTTTTTTTTTTAAGATTTTATTCATTTGATAGAGAGAGAGAGCACAAGCAGGGTGAGCAGCAGAGGGAGAAGCAGGCTCCCCGCTGAGCAGGGGGCCCGCTGCGGGACTCAATCCCAGGGCCCCGGGATCATGACCTGAGCCGAAGGCAGATGCTTAACCAACTGAGCCACCCAGGCGCCCCAGGATTTGGGGTTCTGTCAGAGATCAACGGTCAGGATGACAGGGCATGGGAGGTAGATGTCCCTGGTCAAGGATCCCCCAGTCACGGTAACAGAGGTCGTGGATGCCAGAGTGAGAAGCCAGATATCAGGGATCGCGAGTTTCGGGGTGATGGGGTACTGGAAGTGGGTAGAACTTGATCAAGGGTTGGAAGTCAAAAGGTTAGGGATTCTGTTTCATAGGCTAACGGTTCTCAGGATGAAGCTGTCAGAAAGGTCAGGGTCACAGTGTGTGTGTTTTGGGAGGAGCAGGAGTCGGGGTCTCGCCGCGTACCCGGCGCGTAGTGGCCATAGGTGGCGTTGCGCAGCTCCTCCCAACCCACACGCCCGTCGCGGTCCGTGTCGTACGTGTTCCAGGCCGCGCTCACCGAGTCCCGTATGTGCCGCTGCTGCGTGTGCGCGATCCAAGCACGGAGCTCGGCCAGCGACACCCAGCCGTCCCCATCCCCTGCACGGTCCATGCGGTCCACGATGCGCCTGCGAGTCGGGGCGGGGCATACATCAGTCCCGGACTCCGCCCACCCCGGAGACCCGCCTTCGCCCAGGCTCCGCCCCTCACACGGAACCACGCCCCCACTCGAGACACACCCCCATACGGGGTTGATAAAGTGGTCCCAGAGCCGCCCGCACGGGGCGGGGGGCACCTGTCAATCCCGAGGCCACGCCCAGGGCAGGGCTCCGCCCCCTCAATCCAGACCGCACGAGGCGGGGGGCACCTGTCAATCCCGAGGCCACGCCCAGGGCAGGGCTCCGCCCCCTCAATCCAGACCCAGCGGGCCTACGGCTGTCGCCGCGGTCCTCCACACGCCCTGGTTGGGGGAAGGACCTACGGCAATCCAGGGCCACACCTTCCACCCTGACTGCGCCCCTGGACCCTCACTTGTCCCATCTCTCGTTTGTCCGAGTTGGGGTGGGGGCAGGGAGGCGGTGTCACACAGCGCCCCCTCGCCCACAGGTCCCCTATCCCAAGACTCTCTCTGAACTCTTGATGGCCACGGCCACGCACACACCCGACCTCTCGCCGTTTCAGGCGCGGCGGGTCTTCAGGCCAGCCCCTCCAACCCGCCCCCTGCCCCGCCTGCCTGGCTGCGCGGGCCTGTTTCAGGCCCCTCTTCCTCCAGCCCCACCCTATGCTGCGTCCCGCCCCTTTCCCCTACTTTTTCCAGACTGTGCCCTAGAACCATCACCCGCAACCCTGCGGGCTTGGCCTCCATCAGTCCCTTCCCCATGCTCTGGCCGGATCTTCTGCACCGTGCCGTCGCCTATGAAGCCCCTCAAGGCCCTTCCTCGCGCACCTTCTCTCGGGCCGCTCCTGTCTGCTCCCAGGCCCCCCGCCTGCGGCCACTCCCCGCCACCGGTTTGGATCCTTACCCAACTGCTCACAGAGCCCATAGGGAGCGCTCCTCTCGGTCACCGTCCTTAAGCCCCGCAACCCAGTTCCCAGGGTCGACTCCGACACTGCCGTGCCGAGGTCGCCGCCCCCTCCCGCGCCAGGCTGTGTCTGCTCCGATCGATCTGGAGCTGGAGTCCCCGGACTCACACGCTACCCTGAGGTTCAAGCTGTTGTCAAGAGCGTGGGCTCCAAGGCCAGATATTTTAGGTTCAAATCCTGCCACCTCCTCTTGCTGGATGTGTGACCGTGGGCAAGTCACTTAAAAACAAACACAAAAAGCTCTCTGTGCCTCAGTTTATCCCTCAGTAAAATGGAGGATAAATAATAGAACCTATCCTGCAGCGCGGTTGTGGGGATTAAATAAATTAACCCTTGTAAAGCACTTGGAACAGTGCCAGGCGTTGTAGTAATGCTATGCCAAATGCATTAGCCTCTCACACGGCCTTTCCTCCTCCCTCCCTCCTTCACCCAACCCCATTCGTGCACAGTCTCCCAAAGCAGACCCAGTCACCACCACTCTCCCCCTGATCTAGTCATCATCGTCTCCTGTCTTCCATCTGGACGACTGCAGTTGCTTCCTCACCAGCTCCCTGCTTCTTGCTCCCTATAGTCTGTTCCCCGAAAGGCAACCAGAAGGATTCTGATGAAACCTAAGTCAGCTCACGTCCTCCCTCTACTTAGAGCCCTCCCTCCCATGGCTCTCCTCTCCCTCAGAGAAAGGCTGAAATCTTCACTGTGGCCTGCAGGCCCTGAACTCTTTGTTCCATCTCTGCCATCACCTTCCACCTTCTTCTCTTCGTTCACTGGGTTCCAGCCACACAGGCCTCACTGTTCTTCAAATATCAGGCCCGCTCCTGCCTCAGGGCCTTTGCACTTACAGATCCCTCTGCCTGGAATGCTATTCCCCCATATAGCCACATGGCTCAAATATTACCTTCTCACTGAGGCCTCCCTTCACCTCCCTGTTTAAAATTACAACCCTGAGTCCTCCCCTCCATCTCTCTCCTACCCCAGACGGGCTCGGCTTTCCTCTGGGCTGAGCTGGTCGAATTCCTTGGCCACTTCCCGTCCCAGGAAAGCCTCATGGTCGTATTGGAAGTTCCCGTGGGCGTCATCATGAGGGGCCTCGCTCAGGGGCGCCGCCTGGTGCACCCTCCCCTGGCCATGAGGGCCTGCGTCAGGGGATGGCTTGCCCTGGGCCCCGCGCCTGAGCAGCAACATCAGCAGCAGAAGTGATGGTCGCCACATCATCAGTCCCTAGGGAGCGGTGGAGGCTAGGAGTCAGGGGTCACAGGAAAAAGAATAGAGACAGGACAGGAGAATGGGGCTGGGGATGGAGAGACCGAAGACAAGACAGAGAGATGGTAGCTGGCCACAAAATTTAGGACTCAAGAAAGGCCGGGGGGTGGGGAAAATGGGGGGCGGGGTTCTTTCTCAGAGGTAAAACCAGAGGTAGGGACTGAATCTTCTGAGGGAGTCCCAGAACGGTCCCAGAGCCGCTGGTGGGGGGTTTCAAGCGAGAGACGTGGCGCACTTCCCACGCAAAGTGTGGGGCGGGGTCGCGGCCAGAGAGCGATCATGCAGGCCCCCAGGCGTTATTTGCAGCCCGGACCCAATTTCCCGACCCGAGAGAACCCGAACCGTCCTCCCTGGGCAAGCCACCAGCCCTCGCCTCCCTTTACCAGTTTCGCCAGCTTCACTTCGCTCTACACAGTCGGCTCTGCGTGCACCGAAAAGATGCCCAATTTGGCGGCTCTCCAGCCAGGCCCCGCCTCCAGCAGCGCAGAGGCCCCGCCCTCCAACCAATGAGCGCTCATAAGGCCCGCTCAGAAGGACTCCCCTCCCCAAGGGGCGGGGCCGGTGAGCTCCGCGAGGGCCGCGGGCGCCCCACGCCACGTCCACAGAGAAGAGCGCGGCCCCAGAGGTTCCGCCCGCCCCTTCCCCGGGCAGGCGGGTGGGCGGCCCCGGAGAGACTCGGATGCCGAGAACTACAACTCCCGGCAGGCATCGCAGCGCCCCGCCGGACCACCGACCACCTCCAGCTGTTCTATTTCCCAAGCCTCTTGGGAGGTGGTTTGGGGTTTTTTTTGGAGGGTTTTCTTCGTTTTTTTGTTTTTTTTTTTTTATTTTATTAAGTAATCTCTACACCGAAGGTAGAGCTGGAGCTCACGACCCCAAGATTAAGAGTCGCATGCTCTTCCGACTGAGCCAGGCATGCGCCCAGGGAGGTGTATTTTTATCTTTCCCTTTGTCAGCATGGTTTAAGAAAGAAGGGAACCAAGGGGCCAGAGGAGACAACCCCTTCCCTCAAAGAGGGAACAATGCTTCTCTTCCGCTCCACCCAAGGAGTCAGGTCAGACTCCAGCCAAGAATTACTCAAAATGTGAGGTAACTTGTAGGCATCTGGTAAGTATCTGTGAAACTTATGAATGAAAAAGACATGACTTGGTATATAAAATTGGCATATTCCACAACTGGCAAATGTTAGTCTCCGGAGAGATCTGAAGCCCAGGGCTTAGGCTATTTATCCGCCCCCCCACACACACACACACGTGTTCTCCTACCTCCCCTGCCTAAAAGTTGAAATGATAAGAACACAATGATTCGGGCCCAAACTCATGTTTATATGTGGAGGTGGGAAAGAGCCATGATCATCAGGAGGGGAAACTGAGGCAGGCCACAGAAGGAGAAATCCAGAAGGTCATCGGGCCCAGGACTCTTTCTGGAGGCTCAGAAATACCAGGATTCCAGGAGGTCTCACAGCATGAAGGGGGCCTGACTACATTAGCTGGTGGTAGCCAGGATGGAGGATGATCATCAGGCAGCTGAGAATGCATTTATATGCTAAGAGTCAGCATCCTTGGGCACACCAGGAGTGGGCAGGAGGGCCCCTTCATCGTCCCCACTGAGAGACATCCAAGGGGCTGAGGGAAGAGGAAGGGGGGGAGGTCATGAGAATCTCTGAAATCTTCTGGGTTCCTGACTGGCCCTCCCCCACGTGTGTGTCTGTCTGTCTGTCTTTCCCAGTCTCTGTCCTACTCCACAGGTTTCTGTCCCCTCCGAGCTTCTGTTTCCTCCCTCCAGTCTCCCCACTCCCCGTGTCTCTGTTTCTTTCTGTCTAGATCCGCCCCCCCCCAGGTCTGTGTCTCCCTCTCCTTGGGGGTTTCTGTTCCTCTCTCTGAGTTCTTTCCCTCTTCCAGCTCCACACCTGGCAGCCCCTTTCTCATCCTCCTCCACAGCAGAGCTCCTCCTGCAGCCACTGCCGTGAGCAGTAAGAAGCCGACGACAATCCCAACCACCGGCACCGAGGATTTGGCTGGTGATTCTGCAGCCAGAGAATGATGTGAGATGCTGAGGGGACCCACCAGCCCATCTGAGTCAGGGCAGGAGCCTGGGGGTTCTCAGTCCCTCCCAACCTCAGCGATCCCAGCACCAGGTTTTGGGGAATGGATGTGGACAGAGGGAACGCCAGTCAGCTGATGTTCTAGGTCTGTGCAGAATGCTCCCACATCGCATAGAAGAACCAGCCACAGCAAGACGGGTCCCAGTCACACTGGCCGAGGGACCCGTAGCAGCAGGCTGCGTGGTATTGTGACTCGGAGAGGCAGGGCCGGCACAGAGCAGTAGAAGGGCTGATTCAAGTGGCTGAGCAATACACGGTCAGTCTTAGTGGCGACGGCCAGCGGCAGACAACGAATGATCAGACTAGCAGCAGCAAGAGGGAAGGCGGTAAGACCGAGGGAGGACTGTCCAGAGTGGTTAATGGGTGGGCGGACTCAGTGAGGCCAGCACCAGCAGGAGGGAAGGCAGTCAGACTCAGGGAGGACTGGCAGCAGCAGGGTGGAAGGACGAAAGGCGCCCAGAGACAAGGAGTACCACCGCGCAGTGGGCCCTCACCCAGCTCCACAGTGAGGGGCTGCGGCAGCCCCGCGTGCTGCACCAGGCAGCAGTAGTGATGCTCGTCGCCACTTTTGACCGTCAGCGAAGACCAGGCGTGGAAGGAGCCGTCGCCATTAGGGCCAAGGTCACCTTCACCAGAGCCGGCGGCCAGCCCGTTGCGCAGGAATCGCAGTTGCAGCTCCGGGGGATAGAAGGAGAAGGCACTGCAGGTGAGCACGGAAAAGCCGGGGCTGCCAGGTCGGGCCTTCAGGCGCATGGAGGGCGGCTCTGCGGACAAACAGGCAGACAGACCTAAGCTTGAAGCCCACGAACCCCTGGGGCCAGACCTAGTGAGGGCCCGGGAAGGCCATACAGAGGCCTCCATTCCTCCCACCATACCCAGCAGGCCCCACCATGTGCCCTGCACTGGGCTGAGCCTGGAGGACATAGTGGCAAAAGTAAAGGGAGCTTCCTGAGGGGATAGAGACGCCACCTACCCACAGTGGGGGTATCCACCCCTCATCCATTCCTTCCTACAAGAGACACATACTGAGCATCAACCGTGTGCCAGACACTCTTCTAGGTGCCCGGGACACAGCAGTGAACAAGACAGACCAAACTCCCTGCCTTTGGGGAGCCTAGGTAGCTCAGTTGGTTAAGCATCTGCCTTCGGCTCAGGTCATGATCCCAGGGTCCTGAGATCGAGTCCTGCATCGGGCTCCCTGCTCAGCGGGAAGCCTGCTTCTCCCTCTCCCACTCCCCCTGCTTGTGTTCCCTCTCTCACTGTGTCTTTCTCTGTCAAGTAAATAAATAAGATCTTAAAAAAAAAAAGATAGTAAGCAGATATTATGAAAAATACCATACCAGCGCATTTGAAATTTAAATGAACTGGACAAATTCCTAGGAAATGCAGCCTTTCAAAACAGACACAAGAAGAAATAAAAAACTTGAGTAGTCCTATAATGATTTAACAGTTTTTAATCCATAATTTAAAACTTTCCAAAAAATAAAAGTCCAGGTCCAGGTGACGTCATTGGTGAATTTTTAAAACAAACAAAAACAAATAACACATCTACATCTAATTTGGGAAAAAAGGCTCCACTGCAATTCAGTGGAGGAGACAGGATGGTGGTCTTGCAACAAAGGAAGCTGGGTCAACTGGAGATCCACAAGTGACAAATAACCTTGACCCCTTACCTCACCCCATCATACACAATTAACTCAAGATGGATTTACAGTTACATATAAAAGTTACTTATCAACCAAGCTTCTAGAAGGCCTAGAAGAATACCTTCATAGCTTTGGGAGAGGAAAGATTTCCTCAAGAGAACACACACAAAGCTACATATAAAAGATGGATGGATTGATCTTCATTATAACTAAGAACTTTTGGGGGCGCCTGGGTGGCTCAGTCATTAAGCATCTGCCTTCGGCTCAGGTCATGATCCCAGGGTCCTGGGATCAAGCCCCACATCGGGCTCCCTGCTCCGCGGGAAGCCTGCTTCTCCCTCTCCCACTCTCCCTGCTTGTGTTCCCTCTCTCGCTGTGTCTCTCTCTGTCAAATAAATAAATAAAATCTTAAAAAAAAAAACAAAAAACTAAGAACTTTTGTTCATCAAAAAGTTTCATCAAGAGAATGAAAAGACAAGCTGCATACCAGGAAAGGTTATTTCCAATAGAACCACCTGACATAGCCAAAAGACTCATATCCAGAATATATTAAGAACTCTAATAAGAAAAAGAGATAAAAATTCCTATTTAAAAATGGGCAAAACACTCAAACAACCACTCCAAAAGAGGGGACGCTCAACTGGTCAATAGTGCAAAAAAGTACCCTGTCACTAGTCATCAACTCATTTACCTGAATTTTTTTAAGGATTTATTTATTTGGGGGGAGGGGTGGGGGGGGAGAGAGAGAATTCCAAGCTGACTCCCCGCTGAGCACGGAGCCTGATGTGGGGCTCAATCCCACAACCCAGAGATCACAACCTGAGCCGAAACCAAGAGTCGGAGGCTTAACCAACTGAGACACACACGCCCCCTCATTGATCTGATTTTGCCAAATCATGTATACGATTATCATTTATCATCAGAGAATTGAAAAACACATCACAATAAGAAACCACCACACACCCACCAGAATGCTTCAAATTCAAGACAGACAATATCAAATTTGGCAAGTCTGTGGAGCAACTGGAGTTCTCATACACAGCTGGTGGGATTATGAAATGGGTTCAACCCCTTTGAGAAAAGTGTTTAGCACTACCTACTAAAGCTAATCTGGGGCCTACACCACCATACTCAAACAAGGACATGCTCACAGTCATCTGAAATTCAAAATTACGCAACGCCACGGTGATAAAAATCGGGTCAGTTGTTGCCCTTGAGAGGTATGGAATGGGAGGGGACACAAGAAGTCTTGCGGGGTGCTGGAAATGTTCTAGATCTTGGTACGCAGGTACATGGGCATCCATTAAACTTAATCAAGCCATATACTTTAGGTAGGTGCGTTACACCTCAATAAAAAAGAAAAAACAAAGACACTATAGTGAATCACTGGACAAAACAATGGCATGGGATACAGTAATGGGGGTCATGTTGGGGGCACACTTTAACCAGAGTGATCAGGGAGGGCCCTGCTGAAGAGCTGACATCCAAGGTCAAACCTAAAGCATGAGAAGGACCCAGTCATGGCAGGATCGCAAGGAAGAGAACTGCAAGCAGAGGGAACAGCAGGTGCAAAGGTCCTGAGGAGGACAAGAACCTGACACTTGGAGGAAGGGGTGAGAAAGCCAGCATGGCTGGGGTGTTGTGAAATTATAGTGACAGAAAGCAGCCAGGCCCAGCCACCTGTGGGGATTGTAGGC